GAGAAAGAGAGAGAGAGAGAGAGAGAGAGAATAGAGAATGCAATGCAGCGAAGGAAGGTCGGTGGGCAGGGAAGGGGGAAAGGCAGGGAACGAAGGGGAGTGAAGGGGAGTGAAGGGGGGAAAGAGCGCCTCGAATCGTATCCAGACGAGAGGGCGGATGATGGAGGAGACGAGTGATGCCAAGAGGGCTTGATAGATATATGGCAACGAGGAGTGGGAGCGAGCAAGTGGAGAAGTTGTGTAGGAGTGCGAATGACGAGCATGGACGGATGAGCTGATTGGCAGGCGGTGGCCGCGAGGCAGCGGGGGGGCCGACTGGCTGGGTTGGCTGGCTGACAGCTCCGCACTGCCGAGTAGGATCTACACGACTTTGGGGGCCTGAGGCCAAAAAAAAGGGAAATTGACTGCAAGGCGTGCATGCGGTTGCATGTGCAGTGCGAGCGAGCTGCCAAATGAAACGGCACCGCCCGCCTTCCAAGCTGAGTTGCCCAACAAGGCAAGGCTGCAAGGCTGCACACACGGTCAGACCGTTTCGGCCAGACCGATTGGGCAAGAGAGAGAGTGGGTTGGTGAGGCCCAAAGGCGGAGCGGCGTGTGCGGTGTGCGGAATCACATTGACGAGGCGCGTGGAATGTGGACGGCGTGCGTATGCTGCGGGGGGGGCTTTGATGAGCAAAGTGACAGCCGTCTCTCCGACCGCGCGTCCAGTCGGCATGGCCGAGCCGAGGATGCCAGCAACACGCGCCAAGCTGCGGCTTTGCTGGTTTGGCTGGTTTGGCTGCAGCGTAGAAAATCGGCCCATCGCTTTTTCCAATCGACCTGTCATATTTCGCCTGCGCTCGACGAGTGAGGATCTACGCGTGTGCCTGCCCAGACAAGAAAAAAAGTAACACTTTGCACTCGCGCGAGCCGAGACAGGTTCACACCTCCTGCTGCTTCACAGCTGTACTCCTGCCTTTTTGTCGCAGCCCTGTACGCACTCCACCCTGGCATGCCGTGCAGACTACTCGATGAGCCTTGATGTCACATGGGGTCTTTTCAAGTGGGTTGAGGCAGCTGTCATTTGCTACTGTCTGTCGCTTGATCCGAGCTACCGAGATTGGCAATCTGGGCACACTGTCGATCGACCCAAAGCTTCCCGTCTCGGCCTTTCCGCCCATTTTTCCCGGCGGTTGGGGAGCGGATGGAGGCGAGGAATTTCGAGTGTGTTGCCAGGCCAATGTGCTGGCAGCCGTTTTGCAGCATGGCATCTCCGACGTGTGAAGATATGCAGCCGCGGCTGGCTGGCTGGCTGGCTGGCTGGC